TGCTATGCTAATTTTAGCTGTAAATTCACTCACCAAGACAATCTAAAACAACTTATCTCCTCAATAAAACAAGGGTCCACAACTGAAATCTCTCCCGAAGCTTCACTTCAACTCTCCGATCAACCGGGTCTACTTCACACATTGGTACCAACTATGAGTGTCGTGTTTTTCCCTCTTTCTGCAGCAATGTCTCAACTCCTCAACAGGAACCACTTCAAAGTACTACAAAAATAAAATATGCTGCCAAAATAAGAGTTTGCTGGCAATAGTATGATGTGAACAATTTACGTCCACTTACTGGGCTACACTGCGTCACTGGGGAAGGGCGGCGTATGCGCACAAGCAGCGGCCGTGCGCGCAGAGAGGAGGCACTGTTGACAGCAGCGGAGCACCCCCCGTGACAAACACGCCGGACGCGCTTGTCTCCGCTCGGCTCGGAGGACGAACTGCGCAACAGAAAAAAAAAGGTAGGAAACGGCCGCTTCATTTGGAAATATCGAAACAGGGAAGTTGGAGTGAGCTCGTCATTCCGTGCGGGCTCAAAGTCAGTCAGTCAGTAAGTCAGTCAGCATGTTCAGCTGGGTGAAGCAGGAGCAAGGTGGACGCAATAAGGAAGGAGAGATGTACCAGACGGTGACGGAGGGATTACAGAGCCTCTACACCAAGAAGCTGCTGCCGCTGGAGGAGACCTACCTCTTCCATGACTTCCACTCCCCGTCGCTGGAGGCCGCCGACTTCCAGAGCAAGCCCATGGTGCTGCTGGTCGGCCAGTACTCCACCGGGAAGACCACCTTCATCAGGTAGGCTCCTAACCGCCGGAGGACAGGTAGGGCCGCTATATGTGGCAGAGACACCTTGAACAGGTATTAGACCGGTTAACAGCTTCATGTTCTTTAACGGAACTTTATGCTACACCTCATTAAAATCTCTCTCGTTTATAAATATAGACACAAGAGGTGGCAGCATAAAAGAAAGTGTCAGACAGATGTGTCCAGTCTTTTGGTAAAACCTGGTTTGAATAAAATCCACCAATGCTGGCGCCTATTTATGAAAATTTAAAGCTGTGTTAATTAACTGCTTCCTCTGATTTTCGACCAATAAAGGCGAAGTGAGAGTCCAAACACACTCCAGCAGGATCTCCTGCTCTTCTCTCTTCCTGCCCAGGTTCTGAAACTACGTCAGTCAGGTAGCAGCAGTAGTAACCGGCTTTAAATTTGAGGTTTGGTTGTCACCCCCGGCGCATTCTGGTAGGGGAGCAACATAAAATACTTAAAACATCACAGATGGGCAGGCTGATGCAGCAATGAGAAGTCTACACACAGAAAGTAGAACATGACTCATAAGTGAGATCCTTAAACCTGCTGGTATTGTCCCCATTATTTGGTGCAAAGTGATCTGGGAGGAAGGACAAAAAGCACCTTATCAGCTGCCAGATCAGTTTACACCCAATGTGACTATATTCTTCTGTGGCTAATATGCTGTTGACCTGATTAGGTCCCATACATTTTCATTTTTATCTGTTCATATTTTTATATTGACTTGTACAATTTTTGTGTTCTGTAAATAATGTGTCTTTAAGCCCAGAGCTGCCAGAAGAAATGTCGTTGCGCTATGTATAATGACAATAAAGATTCTTGACTTGAATGTGGCCGCATGTTGTAAGTGGGATGTTATGCCAGGCCTCATGTTAAAATCTTCATGTTTAAGGCTCTCACCTGTAGCTAAGGAAGCACGAATGTTAGAGGATAATCTAAGAGGTGATACAAATGTGTCGAGTCTTATGGTAAATGTGTTTGTGATAAAATACATCAAAGCTGCTCTGTGTTTAGGAAAAGTACAAGGTCTCAGTCCTTGCCACTCACCTCCTAGGTGCATTTTGGTAGAAGACGGCAAGAGAAGCAACATAAAATTTTTTAACTAGCATTAAAACACGTAGAGTTTGGTGGCTCAGGTTTATGCCGAAGTGGAGACTAAACCTTTCAAAATCAGAAAACACCTGAAGTCTTTGTTTGCAATATGTAGAACAAAGCCAAATAACAAGAAGGTTGTAATAGCAGCATTGTTTCAGTGGAGTTTGGCATGTATTCTCTTCAAGGTCTTGGCAGCATTTGACCTTGGTAGGCTGAAAGAAACACAGTTATAAGTTAATTATTAAAGTCCATAGTGCAGTTAACGGGTGTTTGTATTCACAGAAGCAGATGTGGTTGTTAAACTGGGGATGAGCAGTTACTGGGCCCACTTCCTTCTTATTGGGGCAATTTGAACCTGCAGCCTTTCAGCCACAGTGGTGCAGCTCTGACGTCATCCTTCATGTGGAAATCTACTGTGGCTCCTTTGTGGTTTGGCAGCCAGTGTGTCCTGAAGTGTGCAGAGTTTGTAAAGGCAGCAGTTGGCAGCTGAGGCTCATGCGTACAGCAGTACTTATTGCTGCAGAACCTGCCTGAGAACCCTCCTGTTCTGAAGTAGTTTTCAGTCTCACAGTGATCCAGTGGCAGCTGTCTGCACACCCATGGGTGCACAGCACACAGGAGCTGCTCACTGCTCATTTGGCTGATGGTGATAACTGAGCCAAATGTGAACAAACGGTCTTTACAAAACAGGGTTGTAGCAGCGCAGTTGGCGCCTATAGTTTGTATAGAGTCCTGCTGCAGAGTGTATGGCCTTAAAGTACTGCTCTTTTTAAATGATCACATTATGAATTAGTGAATGAGTTATTGTGTTGTGCATTTAACATGATAATATAGCACAAAAATACAAGCCAGGAGCAGAGTGCCGCGTAGACGGTTCCAAACAGAGGGCGTATGTCTAGCAGTCAAATCACTGTCTACAGCTAAATGCATACATCGCTGACAGAACCACTATATGGTACTAGAGAAATCTGAAATCCTTTTTCCGGGCTTCTGAGACGGAGTTAACAAACTTAAACTTCCATCTGTGCACCAGAATATTTCAGGGTTTAGTCATGGAAACCAGCTCTCTTAAATCATCATAAATTGTACATTACAAAATAGAATAGGAATCAGTTTCACTAAAATCACGCTGCTCACACAGTCTGTGTTCCTCCTGAGCTGTTTTGGATCAGTGACCAGAGGAAGAACAGCAGGGTCAGACTTTGTTTTATATGTGTTTTTCATTTTGGTTTTAACAAGATATTTCCAAAAGGCATCAGAAGCAGATCCACCTCCTCAGAAACTGAACACAGCCCTGTTAGTTTACTGTGTTGTGTCCGGAGGCTGCTGTGTTGTCAGGAGTTACAGAGCTGATCAACACCCCCCACACGCAGGCTCAGACCTACAGTCATGCTCACACATGCTCTTCCGTGCGCATGACTGCTGCACAGTCTTTGACATTTACGTTGTCAAAAATGAGCCTTTCTAGTATAAGAGTAATTCTAGTCTCATCACCCAGCTGTGTGCAAAGTCACAGCCGTGACATCACATCCTGTGCCGATGCTGAGTGCAGGAAAATGTTATTAGACTGAGGCCTGATCTTAATGAGGAAGCTGCTGAGCAGAAGATGAAAAATGAAATGAACCGTGTGTGTGTGTGTGTGTGTGTGTGTGGGTGTGTGTGTGTGTGTTCAGCCTGCGCCTGCCACCGGTGCAGGTTCTAATCGAGTTAATCAATCGAGAAAAAAACAGCATGACAAATGTAATAATCATTTGAAATTTGATGCCAAACTTTGTCTGATTCCATCTTTGTACATGTGAGGCTTTGCTGTTTTATGTCACTGCACAGTGAATGTCTTTGGGTCTGGGCCAGACTTCATTTGAAAATGTTCCTATTTAACGCTCGCTTGCTTAGCAACACGTGTAACCAAGTCTTGGAGAACAATGTAAGATATCAAACAAACAACTTGATGCTGATACTAGATTTGGCTAAAACAAATTCCACAGAGCAGGACTGTGTGTTGAGAAAGTTTAGCTTCTCGTGGTTTTTGTGCCTGGTTCTACATCTGGCCTCTGGAGCTGAATCTCATACAGCAGATGCTCTCTCTTTCCATTAGAGTCCTGTCATGTGTGAATGAAACAAGTGACAAACCACCACTACAGACTCGTCGCTTATTGGTGTGTCCTTGAATCCAGCAGCAGCGGCCAGTGGTTTCAGTCTGGTCTCTGCTGTGTCACCACATGTTGAAACCACTGACAAAGAGTGAAGGGACCAGAATGAGGAGACGGATGAAATGCAGTGAGTTTTAAAACCTGGGAGACAGTAAACGGTGGCCTGAGGTCGTCACATGGCAATGACACTGCACGGAGCTTATCTCGTGTGTGCTACAGGCAGTCACACTCTTTGGCAGCAAACCAGAGCAACAGAACTGACCTGAGGTCAGTTTGTGTCCGACACGCTGCAGAGAGATTGTGGTTCCTAGTGGACTGTGTATGTAGTGGGAGAAGAAGTACTCAGATCCTTTATTACAGTAAAATTAGCAGTAACACGTTGTAAAAGTACTGCACTACAAGCAGAAGTCCTGCATTACTTGTATAGAAAAGTAGAGTCATCAAAATGTACTTAAAGTATCGAAAGTAAACTCATTCTGCAGACAAACGGTTTTACTGCTCCACATGTTTTTGGATTAATATTACTGGTTGTACTTTGCTGCTGTTGTTGTTTAAAGTTGTACTAACTACTTCATATACTTTAATGTACAGCAGTGTAGAATATTCTGGAAGATGGTGGCGTGTTTGTAACAGCCATGGTTTTCCAGTTATTCCAGTACTTTTTCAGAAGTGTATGTAGGCGAATTCATTCATCGTATAAAGGAATAATTAGTCATGTTCACAATCACCAGATTTAGTGGTCGGTGGGTTTGACTGGAAAGGAAGGGGGATGAACAAAGTAACTGCAAATGTCAAGTGAAAGTACAATCTGGGCCTCTGAAGTGAAGTGGAGTACAAGTACACAGTAGAAGAGAACGGACCTTTTCTGCTACTTTGAATGTGTACTTAAGCACAGTACTTGAGAAATGGTACTTAGTCACGTTCCTCCACTGCCTGTATAGATGACACATGAAGTCCGATTTGAGTTTTTACCACTGGAGTGAGGACATGCTGTCCAGTCCTCAGCCAGTTTGAGGTTTCAGAACCGGACTTGGGTTCTCATAAGTTAGTGTAAGGCGCGAGGGGATGCAGTACAACAGCTGCTGAGGCCCACCCTTCCCTGAGGAATGCTATGAATCCTGGGAACAGGTTGCCAGTAAATCAGACCTGACACATTTTATTTTTCTGCTTCTCTGACTGAGGTCAAGTGAGGGCTCATGGACCACAGCCAGGTCACAGCGTGGACTCTGACTGGTCCACACACAAGGATGTGGCTGACGGTTTAGAGTCAGAGGAACATGACGGCATCAGAGAGAGTGTAAAGGATTAACACAGGTTCCTGCCGGTGTTTTTTTGAGAAGAACTGGATTGATTTTGGAGAAGATTCCTGGACAGTCAGGTAACACTTGTGCAGACTCGAACTGAAAGACCGGCGTCTGGTTGGTCTCTGCAGATCATGTCCCTGAAGCCGATAACAGCACCTCGTCATCCCAGAGAGCCCGTGTGGCTCAGTGGAAATCCTACCACAGTTACAGTCTGGGCCAAGCGATGTGCGACAGCAGAGTTCATCACAACAGTTTTCTGGTAGTTTCTGTCTTTGACTGTTGCCCCCTGATGTCCACGTGGACCTGTTGGCCTGCGACAGCAGGAAGTCGGCGGACAGAGGCTCGCTGCAGCCGCCTGCCATCTCTTCCTTCCTCCCTCACTCTTGTTTAATGAGGAAAGTTGTGTGAGAGGTCGGCGTTAAGATGAAAGGAGAGGAAAAGCAGCTCCTTTGTGACAGTTTGATGTTCTGAGCTCACAGATCCACTGGGAGTCGGTGTCAGCAGGTTGGACTCAGGAGGAGGAGCAGAGCACCAGACATGCTCCACACGAACACAAACCACAGCGCCTGGCCCAGCCGCTCAAACGCATGACCTCGGCTGTTACTCACTGGTGGAGGTGTGGCCGGATTACTGGACAGTACTGCTGTGTTTACTGCACAAAAGAGATCGATGTGTGACCTTTGAATGTCTCACAGGGGAATGAACAAAGAGTTGACATGGTTCAACATGAGTGTTTTTGGGTAGAACAGTCCCAAACACGAGGGCTTGGCTGTTTCATGCTATAGCACAGTTTGATGTTTAGCTGTGAACAGCACCTGGTGCAGACATCTGATTAACTACCATCCAAATTAAACAACTCAACAATATGGTCCACTTCATTTAAATGAAACAAGAACAGTCACCTGCTGCAGGTGAAGCTGCTGTTCAGAGGTGTGGGTGTAAAGATGATGAATCCTAATAGTGACAGATGTTCCTTAACCTGCTCCGGTTGTTCCTAAAGTGTGCTGACATCTGACCGGGATGAGCTGTGGTGTAACAGCATGTGTAGCTGATTGTTTATGTGTCTGTGGAGCCATGTAATTAATCCACAGTGAGAAAACAGAACGCCCGTGGCTGAGCCACAGGGCTCTGCTTTCATTTGGGAATCACTGATCTGAGGCAACGACAGCGCTGTCATTCAAACATTATGTCTCCACATACACAGTTTGAAGCGTTATCATAAGCTGCAGTAGCTCTGAGGGTTAATATACAGTGTGAATAATGAGATGAAGTCTGGTAACAGTGTTTCTGAAGTCTGGGTTTTACGGTAGAGAGACAAACAGAATGAGAAACAACATCTGATGCTTAATGTGTCTGTGTCTCCTTCGTCCCAGGTATCTGCTCGAGCAGGATTTCCCAGGGATGAGGATCGGTCCAGAGCCAACCACAGATGGCTTCATTGCCGTCATGTACGGCGAGAACGAGGGCATTATCCCTGGCAACGCTTTGGTAGTCGACCCCAGAAAACCCTTCAGGAAACTCAACGCGTTCGGCAACTCCTTCCTCAACAGGTAAACACACAGATGTGTTGATCCACCCCCGATCCACCACTTGTTCTGTAGAGGGTCGCAGCGGCCGACGCACACAGTCTCAAACAGAGTGTTCAGTTTTAGACCTTTTAACCACTGTCTACATGTATCTCCGTCTTGGGGTTTGTGAAGTTTTGCTGTTTCTACAGCCACCAGGGGATTCAAGTTTAATGTTGTTCACAAGAAACTGCGTCTGTGGCCATAATCATTAACATGTTGCTCACTGTGCACGACAACTGAGTCTGACTCGTGCTGTAAATGTGCAGGATGAGTAAAAGCACATCCCTGCTCATTCAGCCACTGACAGTTTGAAAACAACAGTGTTACCTTGCCCTTTTGTTTCAATCCGTGTGTTTTATGTCACATTAAAGGTGATGCCTGTGATCCTAGGACACTGGGATGTGTGTAAAGAGAGCACAGGCAACGCGGTGCTGACGGAGCAGCTTAACACAACATAGTGGACTCTCTAAAGAGGTTAATGTCTACGTTCTCACATAGGCACAAAAGTCCTGGCACCTCTTCACACTCCTGTCACTGCTTTCCTCAAAACACGGCCAGTCTGGGAAGTGACCCCGCGCTGACATGTAAACACACATAGACGCTGCCGGCCATCAGAGAGACCTCAGAGTTTATATCAGGGTTTAAACTGAGCTAAAAACTTATTTCCTCTTTCTGTTCCGAAATATTTTTAAGAGTGACAGCAAGGAAGTGGACCAACACTCAACCCTCACACTGTGTGTGTGTGTGTGTTGGTGCTTATCCGAGATGTCCTCTTATCGTCCCGGTCTGTGCGACGAGGGAACCTTCCACAATAAGTTATTGTTTCCCAGGGGAAGTGTGTGTGCGTCACCATGTGTCAGAGAGGTGTTGGTGCTGTTTCCCGCTGCCCACCTACATCTCCGACCCACCGAGGTGGTTTATAGTGGCTGGACTCTGTCGGATAAATTTAACTTCCTTGTGTGTACAAAGTGAGAGGGAGGTCACATGCATTCTATTTTTAAATTATATCAAAGTCTAAGGAAATGGAAATTAAAGTTATGACCTGATTAGTTGAGGAAGTTGATACTGAGTCCAGTCTGATAATAGACACAATAAGAATTGGTCCCAACTGAAATGAGTCCGTTTCCTGGGAAATCTGGCAAAACCAGACCCAGAGCAGCAACAAGTAAGAAGAAGAACCATCAAATACTAACACACAAGAACAATTAAACAGGAAAACAACAAGTAAAAGCACATGATCCAGGACAGTAAGGCAGGGACTGTCTCTCGGGTTCTACGGTACCACTTGGATTCAGGTCACATAAATCACAGAATAAATGGGATCAAAAGAGATAAAACAAAAAAGTCCCAAGTGGAACATAAAAACTGGCAATCAAGACTTAGTCCCGATGTTGACAGCTGCTACACGAAGAGAACAAAGAACAGATTGGAAACTGATTTGGATTTATTCGATCCAGATCCTGTGGATCAGCCTGGGACATGGTGTAAATTAGTCTTATTACAGTGAGCCTGGGTATATCCCAGTGAAGACCTCACAGTGGTCTTCCTCTAGTGTTTGTGGCCCAAATGCCCACGTGAGGCGAAATAAGGAAACCTAAATGTGAACTAAGAGAATGAACGTCCTGATTCGGTGCAGATGGAAACCGTGGGTACTGACTCGGTCTGTCCTGTGTGTGTGTGTTCAGGTTTATTTGCTCTCAGATGCCCAACCAGGTTCTTCAGAGCATCAGTATCATCGACACTCCTGGGATCCTGTCGGGAGAGAAGCAGCGGATCAGCAGAGGTAGGAACTGTGTGTTTGTTTGCTGACTATGCTGTTGGTCTGCTGTGTTGTTGCATAATAGTCCTTGGTATTCTTTCACTTCCTCACATCATGCGACGTCAGAGAGCGGTCGCCCTTCACATCCAGTTGTCACCCAGTCGAGTTAAAGCTGCTGTGCCTACTGTTTGTTCAGCATCGAGGCTCTGAGATTCAAACAGATTGACTCCATAAACCACTCCTTCCTGCTCTTTGCTCCTCCTGTCCTGTTTCCTGAAACTGTAACGTGAACTACACAGCGTGAAGTGACGAGGTCGACAGTTCAGTGATGTAGAAACTACGGATCCTACATGTGGCTGACGCTGTTTGTAGAGGATGTGATTACCAAGTCATGTCTGTCTGATGAGGAGACAGACGGCTAAGCTAATTCAGCCACCATGATAGCACGTTGGACCACAGCTAACACCTGAACCAGGAGTGAGCTGGTGAAAGGTTCGGCAACTTAGCGCCCAGATAAGGAGGCAGAGTTTGGTTGGGTTTGTTGCCACAGCGACAGAGAGCCGAGCGAGGCCAGTCGGACCGGGAGCCAGATCTGCTCCTGCTGACTGTGTTCCAGCCCTCAATAGTGTCCGCTGGCCTCTTCTCAGGAGGCATTGAAGCCTCCTGTGCAGGCTCATTGCTGCTGAGAAAGCTTCTTTGTTCTTAGCGTTGGACAGTCAGTAACAACGTGTGGAGAGATTTTAGTGAGTAAAGCTGAGATGGGACAAAGATACCCCTTGGTGACATGAAAGGGGCGTGTCTCCCCAGCCACAGTGTAGAGTGCACCTTTATCCTTTCACGGTCAGTGGAGTTAAAGTTTATTAAACTGTTTGGACGTTTTGGTGCAGAGCAAGTATCTTTACTAACGTGGCTGAGTTTTCTTATCAGCTGTGGATGTTCATGGTCTTCAGAGGATCATTCCTACTGACCCTGATCACCTTCTGGCTGTTTCTGCAGCGCCACCATATGGACAAAATGTCTACAAGTCTGTCTCCAAAAAAGTCTAAATTAATGGCAAGATTTTTATGGAGTGAAGCATCTCATTCTGACTTCTCAGAGATGAGCTCTTTAAATTTTAATGACCCCATGACCTATATGTCCTCTGGCGCCACCCTCAGGATAATGTTTTTCAGCTGCACCACTTCTAAAGCTCTGTATCGACATCAGGATCTGTCTGAGTCTCCAAGTGACAGTGAAATTCTTTATCCCTGTTTTCATTCTCACTTCTTGTTTTGTCTCAGTCTGTTTCCTCCAATGAATCACAGCTGCTCATCTGAAACCACAGAGCTGATAAATGCAGATCTGAAACCAGCGTCCGCACAGGAACTGACTGGGTGTTTAATCCTGAGTAAGCAACGGCTGTAGTAACTGTGGATGTGGCAACGGGAGGTATCACTTAGTACCAGTACTGTGTGTACAGTGTTGGGCTCGTTACTCACAAAATGCAATATAATACTCATGACTCTTTTCAAAGTTAATATTATTACTTATTACTCCCTGTCAGAAGTAACTTGTTACACTGATTGTTAGGTAACTTTTCATTGCACTCCACAGATTGGCCATTGCATCCTTTTTCCTCAGAATCTGCCTCCTAGCTGTCAGAATGCTAGGATGATCACCAGGTGGTTCAAGGCTTTTTCTAACACCAGTGGATCCATAAAAGTTACCAACTAGGGAAGCAAACCAACTGCTTCCAGCTGCTGAACGTAGGCACTGCCATCTTCCAAGCACAGTTGGTGGGCTGGGTAACTCCGACTGTATTCTGAGCTTTGTAAACGCTGTGGGACCTGACCTGTTAAAGCTCATAAACCCTCGGTGAAGGAGTTCCTCAGGGAGCCTTCTGAGGAGCCTGTGAAGACTCCTCAGAGGTGACCTTTGCTGTCCAGCATGCACAGTGTTGGATGTGCTGGTGAGATGTGGTTTATAAACTGAACTGAGCTGACCCACACCGTGGAGCTGCACATTCAGCTTCTCAGTGGGGCTGCAAAAACGTTGGCTTTAGGCAGTTTAGTGTACGTATGCTCATCTACTGCTGAAAAGAAATGACAATGTCAGTTTTGCTGGTGCATTCTGCCCCCGTTACCCTCGTGTTGAGTCAGCCTGGATGACAGCATCAGTTAGACTTCAGCTGGAGGGGGGATTACAGGGAGGGATGGATGGAGAGCCTGAGGAAGCAGCGGTGAGGCGTTCCCTCCATCTGGAAACAGTTAGACCAGTTCAGCTGAGGCCAAATCCACTGAAGACATTCAACAGGGCAGCTGTGTGACTGGACACGCACACAGCTGCCAGGACCCTCACTGACATGATGCAGCACCCTCGCACCTTCCTCAGCCTAAACTCGATTCTAACCAGACCCCTAAAATCAACAATGAATGTGGTGTCCTCACAATAATGTGAGTCCAGACCCTGGTCCAGCTCATCGCTCTGTGCTGTAGACCTCCACTGTTGTCCACCAGCTATTACACCCCCCCAGTGAGTCACACCACTGCACTGGGGGGCAGGTTTCCTCCTCAGAAAACACGGGAGGCTGCCTCTTTCCAACAACCATCTCCACGGGCTGAGAACGGCGTTGCTGTACAGAGTCACTGGTCTCTGCTGTGTTCACTGGACAGAACGAGACATAAACACGGTGTCAAGCCCTTTTATTTATGAACACATTTATAGGCATTGATCAAATTGTTATAGAACATTAAGAGAAATTGGTACAAAGCTAAAACACACAATACATTAAGGAAACAGTCATAAAAACAACCTAACTAAGAGTAAATGGACGGTACTTCAGTTTGTAGCTGCCTAATGTGGAGCGCTACGCCTTCACTGGGAAGGCATGGCCCCCTCTGGGCCTCGGTCCAGATCTCAGTCTGGGCCACGGAACAACCAGAGGCATCTGGTCGGAGGATTTAACCCCAGGTGGTTCGTGTGGGTGGAAAAGCTCAGACGACTAGGACACGTCCAGGTCAGTCCTGTGGCGAACCAGTGAAGAGACACCGGGGGCTGTGGTGATGTTCATGTGCCCCTGTTAGGAGACTGGCAGCGGCTCCAAATGCCAGAGCGAATTTTCCAAATTTAAAATCCCTGCCAAAAATCACACCCATGTTCTCTGTATTCAGTTAGAGTAGGGTGCTGATGAGGTGAGGTCACAGAGCCCCGCGGATCAGCAGGGCCAAAAACCACAACTTCAGTTTTCCTTTCATTTTGTGAAAATACAGTGAGTGAAGACAAACAGCCCTTCCTGTTTGGTGCATGTGCAGTAGAAACCTGAGCTGTGTTGAAGGTTTATAAGACCTGTTGGTTGTGATGCTGAGCTCCATGCGTGTTTTATGCAAACATGACAGCTGGCTGCAGCTCATCTGCACGGCGGAGCTGCCGTCTGCCCACTGGGCTCTGGTCAGGAACATGCAGACTCTCCAGCCGAGGGTGGAGTCAGGCT